TTTTTTTTTTTTTTTTTTTGGAGAATTTTGGCGAAATATGGTTCGGTTTCTTTTTTCTTAGCTCGATTTCATTTCTAGATTTATTTATTTATTTTACGGAATGAATCCCTTTGCAATAATAAAAGATATAATATGAAGAAAAGAAAAAGAGACATGAGCAAGTATAAATGAAATTGAATTAAAGTTAAAATACCGAGATCAAAGAAAAACTAATGACGTCTCAGTGCTTGTGCCACGAAGACCATCAAAGTCAAATAATATTCCAAGAGTCTCTGTACCTTTTAATTTTCATTTTCCAACATACGTTGGAATATTTGAAACTTTTTATCTTTTCTAAGCAAAATCTATCCGTGATGAGCGGAGAACTTGCAAGTGCCTTTTTATCATTTTGCTTCTTGCCTCGATTTCTTTTCGAGGAAGAACTCCATGCGAAAGACAAAACACGCGAACATTACGATTACTTTGGCGTTTGCTATTCTTTTTATATTGCAAACGTGTTGCATTCCACAAATGACTATGCTTTCTTTCGAACGGATCTACGTGTCTTCCGCCTCGCTTCCGGATATAATTATTGCTGGTGTTCAACAAGGTTCCGCGAAGGTACATGGAATCGCCGAAAAAAAAAAGAAAAGAAAAGGAAAACGACACATTCGAGAGAACGATATTTCATCGGTGATGCACCGCATTTCGCTTGTGACAATTGTGCAGAGTTGATAAAATGTCGCGTCAGAGAAATGTCGTCATTGCAGTACGAACGATTAAGTATTTGCCTGTCTTCTTTTTTTTTTTTATCTTTGGCGTGCTCGCATGCGACTCGCGTGAATGAATTATTCGTGAAATTAACGATACGTTTACCATCTGTTTCGGGATCAGAAAATATCCGCGTGTGGGTCGAGCCTCTCTTTTTTTTCCAGTTTTTTGTTCAATTTACTCTCCACTGTTTTTTGACGATTTCACTTTCACGACGATCTTCTTATTCATAAACGACTCACGACTCGTATAAGCAGAATTTAGTGCAAGGTGCGTGCATGAATTGCAAGAAAGTCTCGCGTAAAAGAAATGGGTATGTCGTGTCTTCGATTGAACGGCCACGATGTTCCGTTTCCGGAATACTTTAATTAGAGGTGTATTACCTTTACAAGTTCGCGTATCCGGCGTTATCGCGTGCGCGTTGTATCGCTGAAGTTCGGTTACGTAAAACCACTGGAAAGCATTTTAAAGCAACGACGATTGATCAGTGGACGGTTTCCTCGACGACGTTCGACTTGTCCGCTCGTTTGTTTTCTTCCATATCGTATCAATTGTGCCGTGATTAGCTCCGCGCATTTTGCGCATTTATGAATTTATGAATTGCGAACAATCGAGTGACAACAAACTAGACGGTCGATTCTCCTTGGACAATCGGTGGACGCGTACCGATGCGTTGCGAAGTATGCGATTATTCAATAGTAATGCTTTCGAAACGCTGTATGCTAACCCTTCCGTGGCCGAACAATAAGCAGTAGTATGATAATCGAGGGGAAGGAATTTTAATAGCGAGAACGGCCAGTGAATTTATTGCGTAGAGGCGTTGAAACGGCGCCACATGCAATTAGTCACGGAAGAGTTTTGGAATTTTGAAATTTAAATGCCGATTTTTCACGTTAATTTACCACCGATTAGCTGCCAGCTTTGAACGACATCACGGCCATAAGAATTAATAATTTCTCTTATCAAGAGAATTCGAAAATTCTCGATTTTTTTTTTTTTTTGTTAGTAGGACAAAGTATTGCGAATTTCATCTAAAGATCTTGCGCGTTTTGTAACACATGTTTGCTTCATTTGTACAATTACGAACAAAATGTGATGCACGCGCGGTGGTGTTGGCGTTGGTTAGAAAAACAACAATTACTCGTTGTATGCAATAACGAGACGTTATATTAATACGAGAAGCAATTACGATCTACAGGTTGTATTGCAAATAAACCGCACTACGCTAATAAATATATTCATTGCGTAACAAGGAAACGCTATCTCGAGCTTTCACGTTTAAAAAAACGTGATTCGTACTGCAAAGAATTAAGAAAGAGAGCAACGAATCTTAAAGGATTCCAAGGGACCCGTTCAGCGAATCACCGAATCAACCCAGCTTTCAATCAGACCGCAAATCAAAAAACCAGGTAACACAGACTCCGACAGATGAAATGGGTTGAAGCAGCAATGAAATTGCTGACTCGAGCCCACTAAGTTTGCCTCTCGTTGTATAATTGGCGGTCTGAAAGCGGCGGCAATAAAAAACGGCACTTACACGGTTGGCACAGCCGAGATCTAGAAAGCCGAGAGAGATTCCACGGGCTCCCCGCAGCCGGTGACCTGGGAATTCTCGAGCGCGTGAATTACGCGATCTGCTTAT